TTGGTATTGGTATGTTTCCTGCAAGAAGTTATTCACTTTTAAACAACATGTCATAAAGTTTGCTTTTACAAGTGTAAGCAGCTTATGCACCTGCAAATTAGGATAACCTCTTTGATTTGTTCTTTGTTTCAATCTAGGAAATATCTAAACAAAGAGGTTAGTTGCCAATTTGATTGACTGTCATGTCGCATAAGTTCCCACTTAACAAATCAACTACAGTATCGGTGGAGTGATCCACGACTGATTCCTCGATTGTTCGTAAGTATATTGCACGCACCGAATACTCCTACTCGTGACAGGAGTACTTGTTGGTCAGGTCTCGCCTAAACCCTTGGGTAATCTTGTGCAGTAGCTGCCGCTGCTCTTAAGCGAGGATGTGCGCATTCTATTAATAATGCGATTCGTCCTCGTTTGACGGAGGCGAACAAGGTTTCCTGTGAGACAATTTTGTACCGTTACACCTTCAAAAATGAATCATTATCTTTGGCAGTAAAATGTATTATTTTTCGAGGAGCCATACATCAAAATTCTGATTCGAACCATTATTGTGGGACAGCGGGAGTAGTAGTTTGTGTGTGTCGAGGGCATCGCTCAGCGATGGCACTACCGTATTCCCCACCTACCACTATCCATCATTTCTCCTGGTCTAGTAGTACCCAATTTCAAAGCTGAGCTCATTGTAGAACGTTTTATAGCCCCACGAGACTGTACCCGTCTAAGATGTAATTGGTTGGTTTATAGCTCCAGTAAAGTCACCTCACGAGTATTTGTGTGCGTGTCGACTCATGGAGCTGAAGGCTGTCGACATCGTGGGTGTGTCGAGCGGTGAAGGGACTCGCTCATGTACCTGCCATGACATATGTGGGGATAGCCTTACAGTCGACGACCTGGTTGGTTGCCGCCTTGACGTACAAGGCGAAAGTGGGAACCTGGAAGAGGTTCTCAAGGTGTTCCGCCTTGTTGTCAGCGAGAAAGCATACCACGTCGGCTTCCTCCCTTTGCGCTTGCTGAAGAAGAAAGAAGACTTTGCGAACAAGATTGCCACCGTTGTAGAGGACTACCGCACCTCCCCGAGCAAATACCAGCGGCAACGCTCCGAACGAAACGCTGGTATTGTTAAAGCCGTCCTTATGGACCACCTCCATGAGTATCATCAAAGCAGTAGACAGTAGATCGTTGTGTACATACTACATATTCTACACTACATATCCATAACCGCACTTGCGCCACGCGTTGAGAATTGTTTCCACAGAAATTTCTTACCACGCTTTTCTGATCCATTCCAAAATAACTTCGCGAGATGGGGAGGCAACGACAGAGTTTCCTACCATCTGTGTTGCAGCCCAAAGCATGTATTGGTGTGGGATGTTGTCCTTGAAGGGCTTATTTATGCCCACATCCAGAGTTTGCAGGACACAGGTGTATCCACCTAAATATAATATCGATATATCAAAATTGTAATAAAATACATTGTAAATACCTGGAATAATTTCCAACTCGGTTCCTACTTTTGCAACTTTGAGGGTGAATGAATGATGGTTGCTTGTGGTACTTGTAGTCGTCGAGTAGAAGCACGCTCGGGCTTTCGTCACCAATAAACGGCACCCAGATCGATTTTCACCAAGCTTCTGTCGTCGGATCGTCCATCCACGCATTTTTTTGGCACGTACCAAACATGTTGGGGGCATAATCTTCTCCAAGGACGAATCGATCCGGGCGCCCGGGACCCCCTGAAACATAACGTACAGTGGCAACTTCTCTCCGGTGGCTGTCACGGCCAAGCACACGAACACCCGAGGATTGTGGGACGAGCACACGCGAGCCGACACAGTCTTCGAGCCCTTCTTCGAAATTGTTGTGTGCAACTTGGGTTCGAAGTATACTGGTGTTTCGTCCATGTTGACCAAACGATCCATCGGAACATTCACCAAGGTACCAAAAGGGAGGAACCTAATGTTCACGTTGTCAACAAAGTCATCCATGGTAGCTTACAGATGGTTTGAACGCTTGTGTCCTTGGCGAGTTGGACGACGAAGGCACAGGTCGTTCCGATTCAAGAATTCGTAGATCCAGTTTGATAATACCTTCGGCCGGCCATCTTGATGCTCAATGCCTTGACAATGAGCATTTTCGTACTCACAGCGATGTCTTCGTCGCGCAGGCACTTGCAGTAGGTCAGCACTTCGGCTTGGGACCAGAAGACTTTGACACTCCATGGCCTTTTCCCACTGTCAACTTGCGCGGCGATATGGCTGCTGCTGCTTTCAAACTGGCCAAGTTCTTGATATCTAGGTACCTGACTGATCTGAGGACCATGCCGCTTTGCGGTGGCGTAGGCGCTCTCGTTGGCCTTCATGTTCTCGGCGACGATGGCTATCTTGGGTTTAACCGAGTAGTACTGCTTACGGCCGATGCTTGACGATGGGGAAGGCATGAAATTCAAAAATTCATTTGAGGTGCAGCAAAACGAAACGAAACGAACGAATCACAGGTATTCACTATATTCAAACTAACCAATCACATTGTCTCACACTCTGCTGGTTGATCCGAGCTCTCCTTGTCTAGCCGTACCCATTTGCACCAGATTTTACTGACATTTCAGGGGGTACTGGTATGAATACGTATAGGCCGTTGTAGAGTAATCCAACATGCATCTATATTTGATCGCATGGCCAAAATCATATGGGCTTCACGCTTACTGCGTAGTAAATTGCAGAGCAAGCTGTTGGATTATTTGCGCGGTCTACATGCAACTATTTTTGACTGGAAATTATACCACGTGCAAACCGTCCAATTTGGCCTACGCCTAGATTGAAACACGTGCAAATATACCACTTAAATATAACCACGTGCAAGCACGCGAAAAACCACGTGCAAAAATTCCACACCCGACATTCTCTCCGGCTAAGTTCGACCAGTTAGAGTCTGTTCGGGGAAAATACCGAGACGAAAAACCATGATGGAACGCAATCTGATTGGTGGATTGAAACTGCAATTACCGAGATGCAACCGGAATCTGGATGTGTCTTGGTTGAATTTCGTCTGGGTTTTGCGATATCGAACAGAGACTCCCCGTGTCGGTTTGTGGGCAGCATGGGCCAACCACGACGCATGTGGATTCCGGATACAAAGCACTCACAATTGAATTGACGGGATGAGTCGAAAAGCGAGTCAACGCGGAGATGAACCTGTGGTGGACCAGAAAGTAGAGCACAACAGCCACCTTTATTTCGCATGAGTGGGATTTGGTGTAATTGTCGAGACTGCATTGCGCCGTTTCCACCCGCAGTACTCGCATAGCTCGACAAAGGACTCTTGATTACAATGTAAATTGTCCATAAATCATCGGTAGTACACTGGATCGATTAAGAATGCTTGGAAATCAATATCTGTCACGGTCAGCAAGTTGTACTTCTGCGTGCGGGTCACAGATGACATGGCCATGCACACAGCTGCCGCAGCAATGCTTCCAGCCAAAGCAGCATAAACGTCTCGACGGCCACATGTACCCCCATTCGAACGGCTGCCACACACAACAGTGCCACAATGTAAACAGCCACACACACCACCCGAAGGACAGCCACACAGGCCACCAAGAGGTCATCCACACACGCCACTCAGAGAACAGCCACACACACCACCAGAAGGACAGCCACACATCACCCGGAGGACAGGTACGAGCTCGACTGTTGCCACAATGTGGGTAGCCACACAGCACACGGAATGCAGCCACACGCACCCCACTCACCATGACAAAACCACGAATACAGTAAATCAGAACTCTTCCCTGGACACGAAATGATCATCCGTACAATGACAATGACACCGCAAAAAAAATCCGGTTATGATTTCGACCTGGTTGAATTTTTGTCGCGGTGTTTTCCCCGAACAGGCACTAACAGCAAAACATACTTTTCACAGTACCAACTAGAGTGGGACTTGGGCATATACCAGCCACCCGCTGTTAAAGTGGGGAGTCATCGTCACACCTGTTGGCACAAATAGTCAAACATAAACTGGAAATCCAAGAACGAAGTTTTGACAACTCTTAAAATCTACAGATAACGTTTGAGGTAGATTTGAGGTAGATCTAAAGCGCCTTGGGGGGGAAATCAGCGGTTTGGCACGACAAGTTGTCCCCCGGAGCCACCCTCAAGAGGTCGCAGAACTTCTTGAAACTGGCAATGCGGCTCTTTTCCGAGTCGCGGTTGCGAGGGTTCACGCCGCATTCCAAGCCGCCGTTGATGATATTAGTGGCCTTGGCAAAGCCACCGGGGAGCCCCACCACCTTGTGGATGTTGCCGTTCGGCCTTTCATCGTGCCAGTACCACAACGCACTCCACCACACCAAGCTGTCGTCTTCGGCGACCAGCTCAGGTCTCGCGACCAAGTCCAAGTTGACAGCCTTGCCAAAGTCCTTGTAGTTGTAGTTCCACGACAACTGGATCGGGCCACGACCAAAGTTCTGCTTGCCAGCCGCACATGGGTACTCGGGTGACGGCTCGCACATGGTGGACTTGTTGATCTCCTCAACGTAGCGAAGATCGCCAGACTCGAGCGAGATTTGGCCGAGGAAGGCGGCGACTTCGCGGCGGTCGACGTCGGCATTGCCAGTGTTGGCGAATTCGGGGTACTTGTCAGCGATGGCCACGAGTTTATTGTACTTGTAGATGTCGAGGGCCTTAGGGAAGATGCGAAGGAATAATTCCTCGGACAAAATGTTGGTCAAGCCGGACTTTCCAGGAGGGGATGGTGGGGTGTTAGGAGACGACGTTGGCGTCGGTTTTAGAGATGTATCAGGGGAGAGCGTTGGTTGCTTGGTCGTGGAGGGGTTGCTGGAAGGGGTACGCTTGGGGCTGGAAGACTTGGGACTGGAGGTAGTCGAAGGATTGGGGCTGGAGGTAGTCGAAGGATTGGGAGTGTTCGAAGGCGATGACGACGGATTGCTGCCGCCAGCACCGCACCACTTGTACTCATCCTGGGAATCACATTGGGCTTTGCTCCACCCCAAAAAGCATCCATTGTTGAGTGGAAAGTAGCAGTTGGTGCACTTGCCACACTGGGGGTCCACTGGCTGGGGGGCGCCAGAGGTGGA